AGCTCAGCCTTGGTCATTAATGGAGTTAAAAGCTTCACCGGTGATGAACCATTGTTACTCCAAGGCTCCCCGTGGAAGTCCGGTTACCGACCAGATTTTAACCCTAATGAATGTTGAACCGATTGCATGGGAAAAGAGTGAAGGGGAAGATAGGGAAGATGAGAGAGAAAATCGTTTTTTTGTTTTGGTTTGAGGAAGATGAGAAGATAAGATGGAAGAGAAGAAAGAGGGGGAAAATATTTTTTTAATATTAAAAAATATGTCACGTGGCATTTTACGGCCAAAATTAACGATCTGTCACGGTCATACTCAAACTGAATTACGGAATGAAACGTTAGACACTAAATTGAAACGAAAAAAACATTAGGCACCAAACTAGAAAAAAAACATATGTTGGGAACCTTTTGACGTTTAAGCCTTTTAAAAATGGGTGGCATACGTTAGAAAAACGAAACTCATCGTGGCACTATTCTGTCGGTAAAAGCTAATTCGAGCTCTCTAATAATAATAACATATTAAGTTTTTCAAGCAAAAGCATGCATGTACAGCTTGTTTTTATTTTGGGTATGGGAGACAATGTATTTATGAGTGTTATCGAAGGTGTTGGACTGCTGGCCTTACTGGAAGCAACTTACAAACAATATGCTGAACATACTGTTTAAATCCCACATCATAGAGGTGTGAAGGCATGCGGCGAGAATCTGGCTATAAAATCAGCGGGCTTTAGTATAGGCATGACATACTTTTCTCGGCCTCTTTGCTATGATCAAGCATAGTATCTGTTCTTATCAGTTAAATATTTGATTTGTAGGCCTTTGGCTCACATGATATTATATTTATATTTTGAGGGGGAGAGCCCGTTTCAGTTCCTTACTACTGGGGCTTTCGGGCGTTGCACTGTTGTTTGGCCTGGCGCATCCCACCCAATCCAAGTTCAAATAGTTTTAGTAGACGTTTGTTTACTGTAACACTGTAAAAACAATGGAAATAAGCCTACGAAACAAGTGTCATAGGATAACATTTTCGATATATGATCTCAATATCTATGGAAAACCCAGAAGAAAAGTTGAACATATTTATACTAGTCGTGCAGATGTGTATTATCTATGGATAAGTAATGTACAAACACATACTTTTTTTTTTGGATAAGTTAAAATTTTATTATTCAAAATAGCAAAAAAGCTACAGAATACAAACAGGGTCCAAAACAAAACAATACATACAAATAATCAGCAATCAACTATTCCCCAATGGTTGCAAAGAGAGCTATCCTCAACTCTTTTAAAAATCCTACCTCTAAGTTGTAAACTAATTACATCTTTAACAGTCTTTAATAATTCACTAGCAGGCCTTGAGCGACCTTGGAACATACGTTTGTTTCGTTCCTCCCAGAGTAAGTAAACCAGAGCATTAAGAAGCAGCTTCATGATCGTTGTTAGCATAAATTTACCCCTCCATGTTGAGCATGCCCTCTCCACAAAGGCATCCTAAGAGAAGACTGTGAACTGCAGACCAGAAAGAGAAAAAGCAGTTTCCCACAGAAGGGTAGCAGTAGGGCAATGTAAAAAGAGATGTTCTCTAGTTTCCAGTTCAGTATTACAAAAAACATATAAGCAATCATTAATAAGACCCATTCGATGAAGCCTTTCTTTGGTGCGGAGTTTATCCAGAAAAGCCATCCAAGTTATCAAACTATATTTAGGGATATGAAGGGGAAACCAGATTAGTTTCTGCCATGAGACTTTAGGCCTTATCACCCGAATAGAATCCCAGATTGAACTAGCTTTGACGATACCAGAGGAAAAGAGATGGTGCACTTCTGGTCTCAATTTCAGAAATTTCTTAAGACTCCAACTAGCAGAGGAGTTAATTTCAACAGACCAGAAGTCTTTGCCCTTGAAAGCGTAATTGTTGAGCCAAGCAACCCAAACGGATCCTTCACCCGCGAGGATTTTTTTGATTAACTGGATCATGCAAGCTTTATTCCAGGACTTCATGTCCTTAATACCGAGACCTCCTTCAGATTTCAAACAACATATGTTATTCCAGCTAACCCTAGCTCCTATAACAGCTTTGTCAGACCCTTTCCAGAAGAAACGAGAACATAATTGTTCAACTTTTCTCAAGACAGAGATAGGGAGAAAGAGTTGTTTGTACCAGAAGTTAGTAATAGAAGAAAGAACAGTTCTAATAAGCTCCAACCTACCTGCGTAACTAAGCATTTTACTAGACCAGTGATGCAATCTAGATTTGATATTGTCAATGAGGATCACACAGTCCTTTTCAGAAACTTTTCTAGTAAGAAAATGAATACCTAAATATCTTACTGGAAGGGAGCCATGTTTAAACCCTGTGATTAAAGTTATATTTTCAATAGCAACAATGGGCATACCAACAACAAAGAATTCACTTTTAGAAGCATTCAGTTTGAGACCAAACATTTTGTAAAAATAGTCTAAAACACTAGTCACCCCTACAACCGATTCAACACAACCTTTACAAAAAATAAGAAGGTCATCAGCAAAGGAAAGGTGAGTCAACCCAATTTTTTTACATTTGGGATGGTAGCTAAACACACCTTTGGTAGCAGCCACATTGAGAAGCCTGGAGAGGATGTTCATGGAGAGGACAAAGAGAATAGGAGAGAGAGGGTCTCCTTGTCTTAGGCCTTTAGCTCCTTTAAAAAACCCTGACAAACTCCCGTTAATGGATACATATAAGCTAGCTGTGGAAAAACAAGTTTCGATCCAGGTGGAAAAAATATTTGGAAGACCGATAGCTTTTAAAATAGTATAGATGAAGTTCCAACTAAGGAAGTCAAAAGCCTTATGGAGGTCTATTTTCAAAGAACATCTTGGAGATAAAGTTTTCCTACTATAGCCTCTAACAAGTTCCTGAGCCAGAAGAGTATTTTCAATTATGCTTCTCCCTTTAACAAAAGCAGTTTGATTAAGAGTAACTAAATCAGGCATTAGACCAGTCAATCTTCTGACGAGAATTTTGGTGATGGCTTTGTAAACCACTGAGCAACAAGAGATTGGTCTAAAATCCTTAACCTTACTCGGATTTGGAATCTTAGGAACCAATGCAATGATAGTGGCATTAAAGGCAGGGAGAATGAAGGACTCTTGAAAGAAATGAGAAATTGCAGCAGTGACATCACCTTCTATGATAGTCCAAGTTGTTTTGAAAAATAAAGGAGAGTAGCCATCTGGACCAGGAGATTTATCATTACCTTGGCAGAAAAAAGCTTCTTTAATTTCCTCCTTAGTGACAACATTCACTAGGGCAGCAGCTTTATCAGCAGAATAGAAACTTTTATTAAGTCCTTTAACAAATTAGGATTAGTATCATTAACAGCAGAATCAACAGTGCCTAGCATTGTGGAAAAATATTTATTGACCTCATCAGAAATATCATCAAAGGTTTCAAGCCTATTGCCTTGGTCATCTAGGAGAACTCTAATAGTATCTCTTTTATTTTTAAGAGCAACAGCAGAGTGAAAAAATCTGGTACATTTATCCCCCTCTTTCAGCCATTGAACTTTAGCTTTCTGTCTAAAAAATAAGGTTTCAGCTTCCTCAAGAGATTTCAGCTCATTTTGAAGAATAAGCTCTTTTTCTATTCCCTCCTCACCTCTAAGGGTTTTAAGCTGCTGAACCTCTAAGTCAGTTTTCAATTGTTTAACCCTGGCGGAGAGGTCACTATAGCAAGAATTGTTAAGGGTTTTTAAACTGACTTTCAGTCTCCTAAGCATAGTGAAAAGAATCTGCATTGGGTTACCGTAAGATAGTCTAAGCCAGGAGTCTTTGACAATATCTTTAAAATCAGGGTGATGAGTCCAATAGTTGAAGAATTTAAAAGGCTTAGGTCTATTAGCTTGAATTTCCTTTTTGAGCCAGACTTTAGCAAGACAATGGTCAGAGATGCCAGGGGCAAGAAATTCAACATGAGAATCATGGAAGGTGCTCGCCCATTTAGAGTTAATTAAAACTTTATCCAGTTTACGAGCAAGAAAAGTATTTTTTTTGTTTATTGCTCCAAGTGAAAGAAGGCCTAAAGAAAGGGTGATCAAAAAGTTCAAGAGATTGGAGAACATCTTGGAAATCTCTTATATCAGAAGAAGATAGAGGGCCAAGGAGGTCACTATCAGAGCTTTCATTAGAATGGAGAATAATATTAAAGTCTCCTCCAAGAACCCAATGGAGGTGACCTACAAAAGACTCAAGATCATGGAGATGCTGCCAGAGGAGTCTTCTAGTAGTGCCATCATTATTACCATATATAGCAGAGATTACAATGGGATAGTTTTGATAAAGGCCTTGAATTGTAATACACTGGTCTGAAGAATGAAAAACCGAGAAATTTAAATATTTTTTCCAAGCAACCCAAATCCTACCATTTAAGGCAAAATCATAGTTATAATGAACATTCCAGTCAGAAAACTTACTATCTATTATAGTAACAGATTTTTCAGCTTTCACTCTAGTCTCTAGAAGACAGAAAACATTCACATTATTATGGATTGCTCTTCTTAAAACCTTTTCTTGTTTTAGAGGACAGTTAAGTCCTCTTACATTACAAAAAGCTGGAATCATTGGGGATTGGCGTTTGAACTACCCCCTCCACTACTAGTAACATTTAGATTTGAGTTATCAATTTTATTTTTCTTTTTCGACTTTAATTCCTTGACTATAGCAGCCACTCCTTGAGAAGAAGCTCTAGGTTTTCTTTGATAGACAACTAAGTTAGGGGTGAGTTCCTCAACATCATTAAGAACCTGAAATCTGTTTGTTGTAACTGGTAATTGTTTTTTTGTTTTTTCTTTAGGTGGCCTGCCCCTTCCCTTTATAGGAATAGTACTAGACTCACCCTTTACTCTTTAGTAGAGTATCATAAGGAGCAGAAGAAGACTGATTTTCGGGCTGGTTTTCTACTTGAACATAATTTTCCTTTAAAAGTTCCTCAGCATTAACAGTAAGAGCATGAGAAGTAGTAATCTACTTCTCACAATAGACTGTTAACGCATGATTATAGTCAACCACAATAGAATCAACAATATTACTAGAGTCGGATTTAATAATTGTGCTAGAATCAGATTCTTTACTTGAAGGTAAGGCATCTTTTTCTTGTAATAATTCTATTCCACCTACAGTAGGTTCTGAATCAGTCTCTTTAGTTATGTGTTTTTTTTTCTTCCAAACTTGAGATTTGACATGAACTGAAGTTTTAGACTTAATGTAGCCCTTATCACTATGGCCAAAAATTTTACATGTTTTACACCGGACTGGCATCCAAGGGACCTCTACCACAATTGAAGCTTTATTCCCATCCTTAAGTTCTACTTCAACAAAGTTAGGAATTACATCATTAGCTCCTATTTCCACGCAAAGCTTTGCATACTCAAGGTGAGATTTTCCTGCAGTAACAAAGTCCATGGAGAGGGGTGTTCCAATAGCACTTGCAACATAGCTTAGACCTAGACGAGAGTATAACTCTAAAGGGATATTATAGAGGTGAACCCATATAGGTAAACTAGAGAGATCAAAACTAAGTTTTTCAAGGTTTGGCTCCCATTTTCTTAAGATTAGATGTTTGTTCAATACATGCCAGGGTCCATTTTCTAAGATCCAATCACGAGCTTTTACAGAAGAGAATGAAAAAACAAAGAGGTTATTCCCAGCATATCTTACCTGAACGCGTTCTCCTACGAGGGCTTTACTCCACAGATTATCCATGAGTCTTTGCATCGAGGAGAATCTTGGGGTTGAGCCAAGAATTTATCCCACAAGCGACAGGTTCCATTCCTGAATCCCTGCTTCGAGCACTTCCCATAGGGGTTGAACAATTTTGACTCCGTTGCAAACCCTAAGGGGGGGAAATTCGAGGTCGTAGCCCGCTGAACACCCAAATAGTTTTCTCCAATCCATAGGGATTTCGCAAGGGAAGCAGAATGGGAACGAGATGAACAGAACGGTTTGAAAAGCACCGAAAATCAGAGAAGAACGACGGACGAACGGCGAAGAAACTCAGGGCCGTTAGCCCAGCTAACGTGCACTGATAGAGACTCTTATCGTGCGCCGAGAGACAAACAATACTTGAATCTAGGTATCAGATTAGTATGATCTTCGACCACTCATGGTGTTGGAACGTACATGTTTCAGGCATGAATTTGTTTTCAACACCCGCTAATGGGGAAATAATAGTACCGAATTGGTTAATATCAATGATAAGAAATATACATACCATGCTTTTGGTGAAGATAGCATCGAGCTTCCTTGCTTTTCCTCCCAGCTGCTGAAAGAAAGATGAATGAGAGATTTAGCTATCCGACTTGGTGATTAGATTTGTCATGCCGACTGATTTCATTTTGCAGCTTCCATAGTTAATTTGTAGAATGGGATCAAGCACAGCAACTAGATTCGGCGTACCTCTTTAATTCGTTTAACTTGCTTTCTGATTTGATCAATTCCTTGTTTGCATCAGCTTCTGTGAAAGCACCTTTCTTGGCATCTTGATTTGCTCGGCGTAGTTGACTTAGCATGGCCATCGCCTTACAAGATGCAGACAGTGGGTAGGTGTTTGGTTACAAAGCCTAGTCCAATCAATCATTTACTGGTGGATGACTTTAAGGTATTGTTGTTCCCTTTAGAGGGGAGAAGGGAGAAGTGTCATAAGTAAATACATGCTTCAAATAGAAATTTCTACTGTCCGACAACGATAATACAGGTGGAATAGTTCCACCCTGAGCTCCGTTGTACATCACCGTTCTACAGTTCCAATGCCGTGCCAAGAATCAGCTCCTCTTTAAATATTTTGAGGATCAGAAACAATAACAAGCAGAAGCTGAGCGACGCAATTACATCTGCAGCTCAAACCAGTATCATTTAATTAAATAATTGAATGAATTAGCCGAATCAGTTTTAATATCGAAATTTAAATAATTAAATTATACCGTTATTATTTAATCAAAACCAAAATGATTAAATAAAGAAAAAGGTCCAATTAGAAAGCGAGCAGTGCGTAAATCGGTACTCGAGAGCGTGGTGTGTTAGTATCTTTTAGTTTATTTTTTTATTGGCTTAGGGAGTTTGTTTTCTGTTGAATAAAACCATTCAACGTTAAATGTTAAACCGTTTAGCATTCAGCGTGTTTGATTCTTACATCTAAATGAAGACTATGCGAATGAAAAATCAAAACACTGCTGAATGATTTATCATTAAAATACATTCTGAATCATTAAGCACCCGATATTTTATTATAATACTTATTTTTTCATATGTTTTCTTATTAAACAATCATATATTATAATATAGTAAATCATTATGAAAGTAAAAATGAAAATATTCATAATTCAGATTGTACATTCAGAACTATTATCAAACAACATGTCACATTCAGAGCCAATTCATACAGAGCCTTTGAATCATTCAGGCCATTGAATCATTCAACGCTTAATTATTTTATTTTATCAAACAACTCCTTAATATCAAAATAAGTGTTCAAATTATATCGTTTTTCACGAACATATGTCTAAAATATTTTTTGACTCATCCGGTGCCTAACATTACAAATGTTATCACTTTAGGTGTTCGGGTCATCTACGGTGTTAATTTCCTCCGTTAAATGACATGTGTCATAATCTGGTGATTTTAAAAATTTTATTTAAAAATAAAAATCATATATTTTTTAAAAAGAAAACATAAATTTTTTTGAAATAATCTCAAAACTTTGAAAACCTTCGTTTCAACATCATTTTCCGTTTTACGAAACTCCACATGACCTCACTTCTCCTGGCCACCAAAACCCATATGAAATCGTGATCGATTGACGGCCAATTGACATTTTATACCTCGCAAACCTAGGATGAAAATTGCGATTCTGATTGTTAATCGATGGTAACTACGACTACGTATAACTAGAAGGATGACAGGGAATACATCGAAGGCAATGATCATGGTCGGAAAGTGCAACAACGATGGGTTAAGATTAGAATTTGAGAATTTTTGGGATTGAGGCTTTTTATAATTTAAGGGAAATTAGTGTTTTTTTTATAAATATAATATTATTTTTAATATGTTTTTTAAAAACTAAATTATAAAATCACCATATTGTGACATATGTCGTTTAACGAGGGAAATTAACGACGTTGATTGTCCAAGTACTTAAAATATTAACGTTTGTAACGTTAAACACCAATATGAGTTAAAAAATAATTTAGGCACCTATTCGTAAAATAAATGTATAGTTTGAGATCTTATTTTGGTATTAAGCGTTTTTATTAGTTGAAACAAACCGTTTTCTAAATGCTTTATAAATAAACACAAATGAACTTTTCACTGCATCGACCTCTTCACTCTCCCCTCTGGACTCTTGATTTTGCCTAAATTCCCCTGATTTTCAGTTTATCAAGTTCCCCTAATTTCCCTCCCTTTCCACTCACCCTTTTTCTTCGAAACTCTTATAAACCTCTAGGAAAGTTAAAGTCTTTGTTGTGGGGTTCGTTTTGTATTCGGTTTGATTCGCTTCGCTTCAGAATCTGGCTTTGTTTCTTTGGTTTCGGCTCAAATTGTTCTCTTTTTCCTTCAAATTCTTGGATGTCTGGTAAGGCTTCAAATTCTGCTATTTCTCTAAGACTTTGATTCTTCTTTGTTTGTACGAGTAGAAAATTAAGTCCACTTCTAGGGTTTCTTGGAATAAGCTGCCTTTCTTTGTTCATATTTACTTGTTTCCTGAGAAAATATAGACTGAATGATGTTCTTGGGTTTTATGAGTAATTAGTTGGGGATTATTGGCATGAAAGAAAAGATAGTGTGAGAATTTTGAGGGGAGTAAAAAAAAACCTGTTAAATTTGATATGAGTTTTTGAACATGAACAATGGAGGTGTGGAGAGTACAAAAGATATGAGGAAGGGTGAAGACGTACCTGGCTCTTCGTTGGGAATACCAAAAGCTGATGATTTTGGGAGATCGGTTTCAAAGATTGCCGTGGCGCAGATTTGCGAGAGTGTTGGTTACCAGGGATATAAAGAGTCTGCTTTGGAGGCCCTTGCAGATATCTCGATTCGGTATCTCTGTGACTTGGGGAAAAATGCAAGTTTTCATGCTAATTTAGCTGGTAGGACAGAATGCAATGTGTTTGACATAAGGCTGGCTTTAGAAGATTTGGGAGATTCACATGGGTTTCCAGGTGCTTCGGAGATTGGTAATTGTCTTGTAGGCTCTGGCATAGTTAAGGAAATAGTTCAGTTTGTGGACACGAAAGAGGAAATCCCATTTGCTCAGCCGGTGCCCAGGTTTCCAGTTGTTAGGAGCGGGAAGCTGATTCCTAGTTTCGAGCATATGAATGAAACCCCACCTGGAAAGCATATCCCAAGTTGGTTGCCGGCTTTCCCTGATCCCCACACTTATAATCATACACCTATGTGGAATGAGAGGGCATCGGATCCTTGTGCTGATAAGATCGAGCAAGCACGGCAGCGGAGAAAGGCTGAGAGAGCTTTGCTGAGGTTGCAACAGAGACTGGTGTGTAATGGCTCTACCGGAACTTGTGCTTCCTCGGTTTTGGATGCTAAAACGGAAAACATACAGGAAGCTGGAAGTAACCCCTTTCTCTCTGCCCCACTGCAACAGGGAGAGAAAGATGTTTCAGAGGTTGTTTTGCCAGCTAAGCTTTCCAATGAAGTGAGCAAGGGCGATCATATTTCTTTGCTGGATGCATTTGTTCCTGCCATTGATGCAATGAAAACTGGCCCATCCGACAGATTAGATGGTGAAAAGACGTTCCTGCCTGAAAAAAGGCCTAGCGTTCAATTCAAATTCAAAACTGGTAAGAAAATCTTGGGTGAGTCACTAGATTTGAGCTTGCAGAGAAAGGGTGAGAGGAGCTCAACATTCCTTTTGCCCGATGACGAGAGGGACGATAAGAAAAAGAGAGCTGAGTTTATACTTAGACAGACTACAGAGTATCCCATGGAACTTAACCAGTCTTGAAGTGTATTTTAGGTAGTTCTTTCTCGAAATCTCGAACTTTTTTTTTCTGGTAAGCAAACATTTTAGTGAGGTGTTGTAGCGTTATCCTTGGATCATGTTGACATGGATTGTAATCACACTGTTGGGAGACTCACTCTAACAGATTTTAGGGGGTATGAAAGCTACTGTTTTGACATCACTAGCTCTAGTTTCATTTAATTCATTGGGAATGATTCTTCACCATTTGTGTTGTACTGAATACTGACGTTTTATATTGGAATTATGCACCGAAGTTTTTCTGCCTAACTGTATTCTTTAACCGACATATCAGCATTTAAAGTTAGGCCAATTGGTGCTGTTAATAAGCTCCTTCTGATGGGAAATAATCCATGTTCTTGATGTTGGTTAAAGACGGATGGATTCTTCGATATGCTCGAACCCGAATAATCTATTATAGTTGTGAAAAACACATGCCTTTGCGTGCACTTGTTTATCTGAAGTATATTGATTTACCGATGCTAAGAATGCTCAGAAGCTGTAAAATGATGTCTTTAAGTTCACCAGTGTGAATTCATGACTTGCATGCTTCTGTTATGAAATAGTCGGTGCCTAGAGCAAACTTCGATTGAAGCCATATGCATTCTTGTTCAGCTGCATATTGCTAAATCGATAGATGGTGAATATCTTCGATATTAGCCGTCATTTTCGAACACTAAAACTTGAAAGGGTGCTCCTCTGCTCCCTCTATCTTGTATTCCTTAAACATGTCTCTGTCCTCTAGGTTTTGTCTGTAATGTGAACTTATGCATGTATGTATGAGAGAGAGTTAAATGTTGTCCGGACTTAAAAATAGAGTTAACCCGTACATGACGGCCATAATAATATTTTTTTAATATTTGATCATTCAATTTTAATATTTTTCAAGTGAACTTTTAAATTTTTTGAATAAATTTATGTAAAATCCGAAAACTTTCTTCTTAATCCTAATTTTTCAGATTTTCTTTAATTTATTGAGGTCGAAATATTTTTTTTCAATTCTAATAAATGGGGAGATTTAGGAAAAAAGAAATCAATATATCTTGATTCTGCGATGGATATTGTAAATTATATTAGATATTGTAATATTAGTTCCGATTGAAAATAAACACAAAATATATGGATTCATAATGAACTTTTACAAACAAGCACACATTGGATAACAAATTTACAAGGACCAAATTGAGAAGCCTTCAAAACTAGCAAATAGGGAGAGGGCAACCGTTCCATTCTTTAAGACATTCAAGCATTGGATCGATGATCTTCCCTTGGCACATGGCAACGAACACCTTGTCAAATCCCTCACCAGGTGACTTCACATTTTCCCCGCTTAGCAGCCCAGTTCCGAGCTCTTCCCTCACGAATTTATACAATGGATAAGATCGGCAGTGATCTTGTTCGGGATTGCCGGCTTCCCATTCTCAATCGAAACCCTCGAGTTCTCAACCTCCTTCGGCAATACGGCCTTTAGTTCCTCTTCAAAAGCCGTAATCTTTTGGAAGATCGATGTGCTTGCGTTGTTCTCATTGTCACCGTTTCTCAATGCATGCTCAACAAATACTTGCCTCAACTTTTGCACCAACGGATACTTAGCGCTGCAAGGATCGTCGATGTATGCAAAAACATATTCGCAGTCCACGGCTTTGAGTAAGTCCTTCTCGCCGAAGGGTGAAGCTCGCCGTTGGGGCCAGTCGTCAGGATCTTCTTAGCTACTTGGCTCACGGTGTTCTTCACTGTGTTCCTTAAGTTCTCCTCTAAATGTCTCAAATCAATAGCTTGGCAAAGCGCAACCAAAAACGTTGACGACATAAGCTTCAAGATATCAATGGCTTCGGCAGCTTTCCGGGATGAGATTAGCCCCAAAGAGTTCACATCTTGGTTGTGCTGCTCGGCGCTTTGAACATGGTTCGTGACTGGATTAGCCAAGAATTGGAGCTCAGAACAATAGGAAGCCATTGCAATTTCGGCACCTTTGAAACCGTAATCGAGACTTGGGATTGGACCGCCGGAAAGATTTGATGGGAGACCGTTGTTATAGAAATCATTAACGAGTTCCGAGAATTGAGCGAACATAAGTTTTCCTATAGCCGCAAAAGCCAATCGAGCATTGTCCATTGAGACACCAATTGGGGTACCCTGGAAGGCGCCACCATGCAAGGCCTTGTTCCTCGAAACATCAATCAAAGGGTTATCATTGACGGAGTTAATCTCTCTTTCGATTGATTTGGTTGCGAATCGGATCACTTCAACTTGTGGACCAAGCCATTGCGGAGAAGTCCGTAAAGCATATCGATCTTGTTTCGGTTTCTGCAACGGATCCATTTCATGCAATTTCTGAGATGCTTTAACATAAGAGCTCCCTTCAAGGATATGTTCCATTATCGCAGCAGCCTCGATTTGTCCAGGATGATGCTTCAGTTTATGTGTCAAATGATCCGTAAACTCGGGTTTACCATTCATTACTTCGGCAAAAATTGCAGACAGAATCTCAGACAAAACAGCAAATATGTTAGCTTCAAAAAGAACCATGGAAGCCAAGCCCGAACGGACAGCAGTGCCATTGACAAGGGCCAGCCCTTCTTTAGGTTGCAACACGAAGAACCCAGAATCAATACCGGCAACACGAAAGGCTTCCTCAGCATTAATGGATTCTCCGTCGGGTCCGATTACCTTGGAATTCGGCCTACCGGTGAGCAAACCAGCAATGTAGGAGAGCGGGACGAGATCGCCGGAAGCTGTAATGGAGCCACGAAGGGGCAAACATGGGGTAATGTTGTGGTTTAAAAGCTTAGTGATGGCTTCCAAAATCTCGAATCGGATGCCAGAGTATCCCTGGAGGAGAGTGTTGATTCTAACGAGCATAGCTGCTCGAGTTGCTGAGTGAGGAAGTGCGTTGCATGACTCAGTTCCATTGCCGAAAATCCCTGCATTCAAGAACCTACAGTGGCAGCAAACAAACAGAACTAAAAGTATTCTTATCAGACAAATATAAAAATATAACTTCTCACGTTTTTTTAAAAAATATATGGAAAAAACAAAAAATAAATATATTTGTATTAAAGATGCATCTATATAGGACAATCACCCACCGGTCTAAATGTACTATAAGTTTCATGCAAGGATAGTCAAATTACTCAAATTTAACGGGTCGAAACTCAATCTCGTAAGATTATTTTTTTGAGTAAATTACATGTTTAGTACCTATATCAGTTTAGATTTTTTTTGTACTTAAATTTTTAATTTTTTAAATTATATCTAAAATTTAATTTTTGTTTCATTTTAGTACCCTATTCAAAATTTAACATTAAAATTTTGAAGTATAGGTACTAAAAGAATTAAGTTTTTAACAATAGGTACTGAAATAAAACAAAAACTAAAAATTAAGTATGATTTTATAAATATTGAAAATTTAAATACTAAAACGATTAAAATTGATAGTTTAAGTACTAAATGTATATTTTACCCTATTTTTAATTTGGATTTGAGATGAATTTTAGGCTTAATACAAAAATAGTGCCTAAACAATGCATTGAGAAACGTTTTAGTACCTAAAGAATTTTTCGTTAAAAATAAGTGTCTAAAGTTTTCTCCGTTATATTTTTAGATGATTATCGTTAAAAAAACTGTTAACTGACTCGTGTCATGCCATATTTTTTTTTAAAATAAAATATTATTTAAAAATATTCTTTTAAAAAAATTTGGACATGACACGTATTATTTAATGATTTTTTTTAACAATAGTCACCTAAAAGTGTAACAGAAAAACCTTTAAAACACCTATTTTTAGCGAAAAAATCTTTAGAAACTAAAAATTAATTTGAGTATAATTTAAACAGTTATTTTTATATTAAGCATAAATTTTATGAAAAATAAAATTGAAATGGGGATAGAATTAGATTTTGCATAATTACCATAATATCATCATGTATTTTTTAATTAATCATTGATATTCAATCTATTTATTGATTAATTAATATCACATACTCTCCTAACTAGATTTGTTTCATTCGTAAACTTCATGATTCAAACACTTCAATATGAAAGTATTTTTTAATTAATTCTTAATATTCGATCTATTAACCGATTAATTCAAATTCGATATTATAGAGCAAGGACAATGTTTATACATTGTATAATTAACTTTAGTGTTATCGGAAAACAAAAATGGTAATGCTAGTTAAGTACACCAAACTTAAAAGGAAGTTCATTTCAACTCACCTAATTAGCTCCTTTTGAAGCGCGGCGCCTTGATTGGTCCTCCGATGAGAAGTGGCGCCGAATCCAGTGGTAACACCATAGCTATCGGTGCCTTTATTCATCCCATCAAGAACCCAATCGGCGCTCGCCTTCACGGCGGCTCTCGCATTATCGGAAAGTTCACATTTGACGCCCGAGTCGCGCGTGGCTATCGCCGCCACCTGAGAAATCGTCAGCGTCTCACCGCCGAGTTTCACCAGTGACCTCCGATAATCAGCCACCATGCGTTTCACTTCGTCCAGATGACTCCCCTTTAGTGAATTCGCCGCGAAGCCCCAGTTCAAAGGATCGGAGCTGCCGTTTGTAGCGGCGGCGGTGCCTCTCCGAAGAAGAGCCGTTGTGAGTGACTGGCCATATTAGAAACAGGAGTGCGTGGTTTCAAAGAGGATATGCAAATGTATCAGCTCAGAGGAAGGATTTTTTTTTGGCTTTGGTTTTGTTTCCTTCCCGAATTGGAAGGGAACGAGAAGCGGTTTAAATAGAAGAGAAGAGAAGGGAAAAGAGACAGCAAAGGAACAAGTGGACTCGGTTGGTGGAAGAAAAATATTAAGGCTAAACTATGCATTTAGTACCCTAACTATCAGTTTAATCTGTTTTAGCATATGAATTTTTATTTTTTTTAAAATCATACATATTGTTTAGTTTTAATATCATTTTAGTACACCGCCATTAAAAATTTAACGGGTTTAGTATCTAAACTATCATTTTGATCCGTTTTAGTACCTAAACTTTCAATTTTTTTAAAACTTAATGTTAAATTTTGAATGAGGTATTAAAATGAAATAAACACTAAAGTTTTTAATGACGGATACTAAAATGAAATAAAAATTAAATTTTAGGTAAAATTTTGAAAAAATTAAAAATTTATATACTAAAAAAAATAAAAATTAATAGTTTAGATACTAA